CCCACTGATGGGGGTGGGGGTGGGGGTACAGGGCTAAGTCACACTTCATGGGGAGCTGGGGGGCCCCTCCAGCAGGGTGGGCACACCTTTCTAGCTCCCAGCGCCGCCTCCTGCCTGGGGACCAGGCGGGGCTGCTCAACAGGAGTCAGTGCTGCCGATGGGGTGGGGGTGGGAGCGGGTCAGGAACCAGGGCGATGCTAAGAGAGTGCGGGAGGGGGCCTGCGGAGAGGTCATACAGATTTGAGGGAAGGGTACCAGGACTTCAAGTGCCTGGGTGAGACCAGGCCCTTTAGGATGAGAATCATAAAAGGAGGGACGAGGGGAGATGGGGAAGTGCTTTGACAAAGGAGCTTATGAGTCAGAGAAAGAAGACAGAGAAGTAAGTCACACGCAGCTTGTCGCTCTCGCTCTTGGAGGGTTCAAAACCCACCGAGTGGCCCTCTGCACGGACTGTGACAGGAACGGGGTTGGGATGGCCTTGGGAAAGGAAACGGGACGCTCAGGTCGAGGTGAGAACTCAGGGTCCCGCTGCTCCTGGCAGGTTAAAGCCTGGGCTTTGGACCTTCTCGGCCCCCACCTCCGTATTCACCCCCTAGGGCCTCGCCTGCATCACCTCTGCACTGAGGGGGTGGGTCTCGGATCTCCAACACCATTTTTCAGCCCTTCACTTCCATAACTGGGGCCAGGAATGGCCATCTCGTGCCTCCAAGAGGGCAGCCACGGTCCCCATGAGTCACTGTGCATGAATTCCTTTCTGTCTCTCCGCCTCCCTTCACTACTTGCTTCCCTGTCTGTTTTCGCTCTTGAATAAAAGCCCCCTTTCTACCTCCCTGTCAACTCCCATCCATCCCTGTTCTCCAACATGGGCCACGGAAGGAGTAACGATGGGTGTGCCGCCGCCTCCTCCAGGGCATCACTCCGCCGCCCCGTCCCACCCCGGGAGGTCCCACCTGTGGTCGCGCTGGGCTCTGGGGGAGAGAGTGACAACCAACTGCACGTAGCGAGTGACCGTCCTGTCCCTGGGGGTGATCTTACGTGCTTTACGTATTGACAGGTTTACAGGAAGAACACAGATTTTCTGAGGATGAACCCAAGCTTAGAGGGAAAGTAACTCGTCCCGATGTCCCTCGTCTGCAAATGGTGCAGCAGGGACTCCCCAGTAGGCGTGGCCACATGCACACCCAGTACCTGCCAGGGTGTGTTCTGAGCCTTGGAAGGACCGGGGAGGGGACTTGGGCTTCCCTGCGATAAAGTGACAGCTCGGGCGTGACTGGGGTGTGGGGGAGCAGAGGCAGCACCGTGTGGCTGGAGCAGTGTGTTCTGAGACGAGCAGTGACGCCCTGGCCCTGCCGCCGGGAGGCTCTGTCCTGGGGCTGCTCCGTCTGGTGAGGGCAAGCGTGTGAGGCCAGCCTGGG